CAGCAAATGGACCACAAGTTTACAACTACGTGGGGCAGCCCGGTGTGGGGGTGGGGAGCTCTGGGGAGCAGGTCAAGGCCGCCCCTCACCATGGGGATGAGGGCACTAGAAGTCTGTCCTCCCTTCTCACGCAAGGGCTGCGGCCAGAGGCAGAAGTCGTAGGAGGGGCGTGGGCAGGGCCTAGGCCGAGGAAGGAAAGCGGGGAGGGTGCAGGGTCTGGGACCCACAGGTGTGTCCGGAGGCAACCCCAGACACAAAAGGCCGGGGGCTGCCGGGCCCCCTCTGCCGCCGGGCCCCCTAGGCGGCTGGTGCGGGGACACATCTCGGGGCATCAGGCCCCCATCCCCGCTAGGTGCAGCCGGGAAGGGGGCTCTGCCGCCGCCCACTCCATCCGGCCTCGGAGACGCGCCGAGGGAGCGCGCCGGCCTCGCCCCCGGCCTCCCCGCGCCCGCGCCCGCGTACCTGGCCTTCCCCGTCGCGGGCGCGGCCCCCAGCCCAGCAGGGCTCCCCGTCCCGGGAGGGCGGCGCGGGGCCCGGCCGGGAGGCCGCGCGGCGCCCGGAGACGCCGGGTCCCGTCCCCATGGCGGCCGGAGGAAGCGGCGGTCTGCGCCGCCCGCCGGACAAAGCGCGGAGCCCCGCTTCCTGCCATTGTGCGGCCGCGCCCGCCGGCCGAGCGCGCCGGGACCCGGGGCGGGGACGCCCTCCCCGCCCGCCAGCGCCCGGCCCCGCCTCCGCCCGGCCGGCCTCCGCGCTGACCCCGGCGGCCGCCCCCCAGCGCCAGGGGCCGGGCTCACAGCGTCGCCGTCGGCCCTGCTCCCTCTCCCGGGGGAGCTCTGAATGCGGGGGCGGGGGGAGGCACGCCGGTGACACCCCCCTCGCCTTGACTGCGGAACCCCGACCCCCGCCCAGCCCCGGGCGCCCCACTCTGCTCTGACTTCCCCCCCATCCGCAACGCAAACGTTTGGGGCTCCGAAGGGCCCTCCCTGCCGAAAGGGCATCTGAGCGCCCTCCCTCAGCCCTGGAGAGCGCCTCCTCAAAGCCTCAGCCCAGGGGGCCCCTTCTCCCTCCCCCGAGGGAGCTCCCTGAGTGCTGGTGGCAGAATGCTGGTGGCATCCCTCCCCCTCCGGGTCCTCGGACCCCGCTCCTCGTCGAGCCCCGGGGACACCCCTCTCTGCTCTGACCTCCAACTGCTCTGCCCCAGTCACACATCCGGCGCTCAGAGGCCCCCCTGAGGGTCATCTTAGCGCCCGCCCATAGTCCAAGAGACCCCCGCCTCAGAGCCTCAGCTCGGGGGACCCCCGCTCCGACTGCCAGGTCACTGGGGGAGGCAGAGGAGCGGAGCGGCCGGGGGACCACAGGTGGCGGCGGCGGGCGGAAGGCAGGCGCGCTGGTCGTTAAGGGCGGAGAGGGCAGTCCTTTGGGAGCCCCCCAGGAGCTGCGTGAGATGGGGCGTGAGGAAAACCCCGCAGCCCAACTGGCTGTCCTGAGGTCCCTGCAGCTCCAGGTAGGCTCCCCCACAACGCAGGAGGAGCGTCCGCGTGCCCCACCGCCAGGGAGCGCTCATCGGAGTCCGAGGCGGGTCCCCACTGTAGGTTGCCAGAGCGCTTTACACTCTTTCCCGGGAGTGGGGCCGGGCACTATCATCCCCATTCATCGCATGGGGGATAAAGTGACACAAAAGTCCACAGGCAGGACTGAAACCCAGACTTCTGATTCTGGGGTTCTGAAATGGCCTCCTTGGGACACTCCTCTGTACCTTATGGGGGTGAGGGGACATGCTGTCATCAGCCCACCCCCCCACCCCCCCCACAGCTCCTCCTCAGTCTGGTTCCAGGGGGAAAGAGGGTGGGGAGAGGCGTAGTGTCCGGAGATGGTTTTGAGGGCAGTAGTTTACTAGGGGCAGGGAGGTTTCAAGGGTAGCCTTGGCTCCCAAAGACCCCGTCCTCCACTGTCCACACCACAGGCAGATCTTTGAAAACTAAAATCCAGTCAGGTCACCCCCCCTTAAAACCCTCCAGTGGTTTAGAATAAAAATCCCAGCATGGCCTGGCTCCTCCCTCACCTCCTGGCGGGTCCCACATGGCGGTCGCCACACTGGCCTTCCTCCGGCCCTACAGCTCCCCAGGCTCAGCGCCCGCACCTCTGCCTGCAAGACCGTATACCCCTGATCTTCCAACGGGTGCACCGGGCCTCAGTTTAAACGCCACCTCCCCAAGGAGGCCTTTACCCTCCTCCCGAAATAAATAGCCCCTCACCCTCCCACACTCGGTCCTCTTAAATTGAATTCTTTTCTCCTGAGCATTTATTACTACCTCAAATTATCTTATTTCTTTGCTCACTTTTTGATTATGACTCTTCCCTGACAGAATATGCTCGCCAGGGGCCAGGGGCCTTGGCTGTCTGGCCCACACTGCGTCCTTGGCACTTACAACAGTCCTGGCACACAGTGGGTGCTCAGTCTAGACTAAAGGACGAATGGATGAAGGGTCTTCGTGCCAGAGAAGGCCTCGGGCAGGCAAGGTCTTGGCCCGGATGTCCCTTCCTACTGCCAATGGTCAACAAAGCCTTCCCCACTGCCTGACCACAGGTCCTCTCCTTCCTCCTAACATCCATGATCTTGGGCTTGCTGGCCGGGGCATGTCAGTTTCTACCTCAAATCCTGGCAGTCTTCCCCAGGCCCCCTGACCCTGCTGTTGTCCCACAAGCCAACAGCTGAGCACTCTGAAGTGCCAAGCCTGTACTAGGAGTTTTGGGCAAATCCTGTTCACTCTTCTCAAAGATCCTAAGGAGAAGACACTGTTAGCATCTCCACTTAATAGATGAAGAAACTGAGGCCTGGAAAGGTTAAGTGCCTTGCCCCCAAAGTCACCAGCTGGTAAGTGGGGAAATGGACACCTGTGCTTTGGACCCCTACCAGTATGCCTCAGGCACAGGGCAGGGGTGAGGGGCATAAAGACCAGCTGAGTGGTGGTTTGGGCAGCAGGACCTTGAGGTCCACCCCCTTGGGGACAGATCCCAAGGCCAGATTAGGGGATCCCACTGGCCTGGGGAAACCAGGTTACATCAAGTGGAGATCACAGGGACTGGGCCAGGGCAGGTCACCAGAGGTCACCTGAGTGACCAGGTCCTGGCCATCCCTGAGTCATGCTGCTGCTTGGGTCCTCCAGCCAGATCAGGGGGCTGCTCCTTTAAGGGCCAAGGCCTTGCTGCCCCAGAGCCAAGAGTGCAGGTTCAAGGAACCTGCAGAGTAGGAGGAGCAAAGGAGCCCCGGCCCCTGCCTCGGTAGGCTCCTGGGGTCCTACCTCCTCTCCATGGGAGGGAACTGGAATAGCCCAAGAGCAGGCCAAAGAGGTCCCAGCCCCTCCCCGCCCTGCCCCGCCCAGCCCAGCCCCAGCTCCAGGCTCATGAGTCAGGACCGGCTTGTTGAAACTGATACCCAGAAACCAGATGCTGGGGCTGATGAATAATGGAGTCTCCAAGGCAGGAGCCCCCCTCCCACTCTCTCCTAGCACCATCTCTCCCGCCCCAGAAAGGCAGAGGCCTGTGGGCATCCCCACCCCCACAGTGGGCTGGAGCCCAAGCCTGGTCTGCAGTGGGAGAGGGAGCTCCCCGTCCAGAAAAGACAGCAGGTCTGGGGCAAGGTCTGGGGCCAGCTCTGTGCTCTGCCCACAGCAAACTGGCCTGGAACCAGGAATCGGGGCTCCCTGACTGGAGGGACACCCCTGCCCAGGGGCTCCCCATCTGGGCTAAGCTCCCCTGGGAGCCTACCAGTCCCAAGGCCCCATCTGGCACCTTGGAAATCCAGGGGCGGAGGCTGCATGTGTGAGCAAGTCAGCCAGGGTGGGGCCAGCTCTGCCAGGCTGCTCTCCACACTCCCAACGGCCCACCCGGTTCCTCCCTTCCCCTAGGCCTGGGCCTCACCCTTTGTCCTTTGGGTTCTGGGGCCCACCTGGAGGCAGAGCCTGCCCTAAGGTCCTGCCCTGTGCTGGGCAGATGAGAACCTCTTTGCGAGCCAGGCCCACTGCACAGGCCCCAGAAGCCAGCAAGGCCTGTTCCTCCCCAGGAAGCAGTCCCGTTGGGACCCAGTGCTAGGGAGAGAGAGAGAGGCTGTGGTCCATGAACACCACCTCCTGCCCAGTCCCTGCACAAATGTGCCAGCCCCCAGAGCCCAGGACCACAGCATCATAGCCAGCCCCTTTTCCTGGCACCTCTTCCTCCAGAGCCATAGAGAAGGCTCCTTGGAAAGAATGGGGGATAGGGAATGTGCCTGGGCCTGCTTCTGCGGCCCACCTACCCCTGCCCTTCACCACCTGTGCAAAGAGGACACTGGCCACTTCTCTAGACTTTCCTATCTAGGGATGGCCACTGGGTCCTAATGTGTGCCTAGACCCTGGCCAAGGGGCAAAGGAATAGTAAAATCCTCCTAGAGCCCCCAAACCCAGGGAATCTGTAGGGCCCAGGGGCCCTTCAGCTTCCATTTCCTGGTCTTTGATCAAGGCAGGCAGGGCCTCTCCTGGGTTCAGCTGTCTTCTCCTTCCCCTCATCCCCTAAGAGGGTGCCAGCTCGGCCCAGACTGCCTGAGGCACAGACTCTAGCGCCCCCTGCCGGCCTCAAGAGGACTTTCCGCAGGGGACCGACTCTCGGACGCCCAGACAGGGCAGGGTCGGCGGAGCTTCCCAACCACCCCGTACCAAGTCCCCTAAAGGATCTTCTCGCCCCGCCAACACTGGTGCGGCGGCCCCACAGGCTCCTCACGGTCACATCTCCGAGCGACCCCACCCTAGAGTCACTGGGGTGGGGGCAGGCGCTTGAGCCCACTCCACCCTCAAGTAAGTGGAGGTAGGGCCAATGGTGCCCATCCATACCCACTCGCACGCCTGGGACTGCGTGGGACCCTCTACTCTGGATTCTGTCCATTAATTCAGGAGGAGTCGGCGCCTGGACCCACCCCGGTCCGGATCTCAGCCCCGTCCGGACCCCAGCTTTCCCATGAGACTCACCTAGGGACATGGGTCTCCTCCCCGGTGGCTGGGGCTCCGGCTAAGACTGCCAAAGCCCCGGAGGGCGCTCAGGGCGAGGGGGACCGGAGCCGCGGGGCGGGCTCAGTCGACTTCGCGCCGGCTGGGGGCGCCGGACGTAGGGGAATTACGGTAGGCCGGCGCGGGCGCTACCACCTGGGCGGGCCGGGACGTACCATCGGCGCGCCCGGCTGGGATGGGGGAGCGCTGGGATCGTGGCAAGGGCCCGGCGCCCGACCCTGCGGCCGAGGGGGGCGGCAGGGAGCCCAGCCGGCGATGGGGGTAATCTAGGGTCCAGGCTGCGGGGAGAGGGGGAGGGGGTTGTCACTGTCCCCGAGGGGGCTGGCCCTTTACAAATCTCCGGCAAGTTCAAAGTCCCTAGTCTTTAACCTGGGCTTGGAGGCAGGGGCTCGCCCATCCCCAGCGAGGGCCCACGGCAGGAAGCTGCCTTAGCCGGCGAGACAGCCCCCCAGGGGTCCAGGCCGAGGCACCCGCAGGCTGAGCCTGCCCCGGGGAATCGCCTCGAGCCGGGCTCGTTTCCGCGGGATTCTGAACTGCGCCCTCCACGGCGCCTGAGAAACGGGCCAGCCTGTCTCTGTGCCCCCTCTTTTTTCCTGGCCCACACCTGGCATGGCTGAAAAAGGGGGCCATTCCCCCCTTTGCTGGCTCCAGCTTCCCTCTCCCAGCAGCGCGAGTTTAGAATAACTCTGCACCCAGGACTAGGGGTGCCAGGAGTGTATGGGGATACGAGGGTCCCGCAGGAGGAGTCAGGCAACCAGCCCCAAGCACACCTCTCCCTTTCCCTAATTACTAAACCGGCAAGGTGGGCACCTTAGGACTCGCACACAGACTCAGCCGTTAGGGTGGATCTTGGGCACGACACTTGGTGGCCTCAGGGTTCAGACGTGCCTGCATTTTTCCAATTCTAGACCACCTCACTCAGGCCCCTCACCAGGATAGGGCCTGTAGGCTGCCAGCACCCCCTCTTAGCAGGTGCTGCCCTCTTCAGCAGCACTGCCCTCCCTGGGGCTGGGTCCACACCAGGGCAGCTCATCTTGGCCAGGTCGCATGTGGCAGGTCCTCTGTCCCTGCCTCTTGGGCCAGGCAACCTACGCCTTCATCTGCTTCCCCAAATTACTTAGCCAAAGCCCAGGAGTTCCGCTTGCATTGCTTCTCTGGTCCTGCCCCTTTCTCCAGCTGCAGACTGGACTGCCACCTATCTATAGCCGACCAGCATCTAAAAGGTCCAGACGACCTCCAGAGACCCCCAGAATCTGGCCATTCTCAAGGGCACCCTGGCCTCTAACCTTTTACCCCCAAAGCATTGCCCAGGAGAATAGGTGACTCCTCTCCCATTATTCACTACATCCTGCCCATTCTTCTCCACAAGGATCTCAGATCCACCCCTTCCTCTGCTCTGTGTCCACTGGTCTTCATCTGGCCACCCCTCTCCTAGACACACACCTCCCCTGACTCATCCCTGCCACCTCACAGCCCACTGTTAAGCTGGAACTCTAAAGTCATCAAATCCAACCTCTGCTCTGTCTGCTTGAATACCTCCAGGATGGGGTGCTCACTACCCACACTTCCGGGACCAGCTCAGCTGTTGGAAACTCTTGCCTATACTGAACCAAAACTCACCCGCTGCCAGGGCCCTTGAGAACCACGCAGAAAACTTCACCTCCCTTTCCTCCTGACGGCTCCTTAGAAATGAGAGGCTCTGAGGACAGACGGACCTGGTTTGAGTCTCAGCCTTCCTTGGCAAGTCATTTCACTGCTCTGCTTCTCAGCGTCCTGTCTCTAAAATGGAGACGGGGTTGTCCCTCCTGCATCGGGTGGGTGTGAGGACTAGACAAGGTCCTTGCGGTGAAGCACTCAAGCAGGGCCTGGCACACAGAAGGTGCTGAAGGAATGCTGGCTGCTAGAATGATCGCCTTCCTTTGAGGATGATGCCCTGAGGGTACCATCTCCAAGATAAACACCCTTGACTTTTCTGTCCCCTCCAATGTGGTCTCCAGCATCCCCCGGGGCAGTGTCAGCCCTCCTCCATGTCCCCTTGTGACCCGGGGTGCCCTGCACAGACTCTAACCATAGCACCCAGCTTGAGGGGGCCCAGCAAGGAGCTGGGAGTCCAGCTACCGTCTGTCCTGTGGTTACCTTGCAGGAGGGCGGGGACACCCACTACATCATCACCTGGTTCTCCAGGAGGCAGGGCATCCATCCCTTCTCCCCGCCCCCCTCCCCTCCCACTGCAGACTCCTAGCTCTACCTGCCCTGGGAACAGGTAAACATTTGTCTGGCTGGACAGGGTTGGCTGGGATCTGGGATGGGACCTGGGGAGGTCTCAGATCTCAGGGAGGGGAAGGAGGGTACACCTGAAGCCTAGGGGTTTCTCTCGCCCTCCACGGCAGATGAACACATGATCACAGCTAGCATTCTCTTGAACACCTACAGCATGCCACGCTCTGTGCTAAGCACTTCACATATGAGCCCTGTTTTAATCCTCACCACAGCTCTGGAAGCCTCAGTTTCCAGATGAAGAAACTCAGGTTCAGAGAGGCATAGTGACCTGCGCAGGGTCACACAGCTGGAAAGGGGTGGGCTGTGACACGGGAGCTCACAGATGTGGGCTACTCAACACATCTTCATCCCGGGGAGGGGCAGGGACACCACTTCTCTCCTGTGGTCTCCGAGGCAGACTCCTCACCCAACATCAGGGTGCTCCCTGTCCAGCTCTGCCTCCCTTTCCCCATCCCCTGGCCCCACTCGCTCCTTACAGCACCAACATGCCCCCCTGCTCACTCAGCTTTCCTCCATCTCAACACCTCCTCATTCCTCAGGATGCCAGCGACCTCCTCCAGGAAGCCCATCCTGGTTATCCCCCTCCCCCTTGAGTGAACTCCAGGGGCAGGGGGAGGGGAGGCGGCGGATTCATCTCAGAAGTCCCAGCACCCAGGAGAGGCTCTAACAAAGCCTCAAGGCTGCGCCCAGAAGCGGAAGGGTCCAGCCCTTTTGGAAGATGGCCCCTCCCCAGGGCGGCCTCGGAGGCCAGTCTGGCAAACCCAAGTGCTCACTTCCCTCCTCCTCCCAGTGGAGCTGGGATGTCAGCCCCAGGAGGGCAAGACCTTTGTTTCCTGGAGATCTCCAGGGCCTAGAACTGGGCCTGGCACAGCAGATGCTTACAGCTGATTTGGTGAATGAATGAATGACGTCATCTCCTTCAAAAAGCCAGTCATATCCTGCTAGCCATTCCTAGCACGGCTGGAGAGGACAGTAAGAACAAGGCTTTTGAGCTCGCTCTGACCCAAGCTTTGCCAGTCATGCTGTGTGATGGGGGCGAGTTCTTTCACCTCTCTGAGCCTCAGTTTCCTTCCATGTCATGTGGGAATAATAATGCTTTTCTCCCAAGGTTCTCTCAAGGGTTCAGTGGGACAAGCGTGAGGCCTAATGCCCCGCCTGGCACCTAAACACCTTCGGTCAGTGGTGGTTATTATTATCATCAACAATAAGGATGCTCTTTGCTCCTCTTTCTCACTAAATCTGGGCGTCAAGCACCTCCTCTCGCCCTCTGCTCCTGCCAGCTCATCCCCGGCAAGACCTGCCTCCGCCCCTTCTTTCCTGCCTCTGCACTTCTGCCTGGGGCAGCTTGCCGTTCCTGGACCACCCTCACCTTCTGCTCTGCCTATCCACATTTTCACTTCCACCAGAGGCCACCTCCAGGATGTCCTCCCTGACTAGCCCTCCTGCCTCTGATCGCTCAGGCATCCTTGTCCCCGAAGTCTGTGCCATTTGTCCAAAAGTAGGTCCCACAGGTGACAGGGTGTGGGTTCTCCCCCTGCAGGCTGCGTGACCCTCTGGCTGCTGATGCCAATGTCAGTCATGCTGAGTTCCAGGCAGGCCAGGGCCGGGCTGGAGCTAGGACCTGCAGGCTGCAGAGGGCCCACACTCACTCTGAGACCAACTTTCGTCTCATAGGCCTCACTTCTGTACCATCCAGGCCCTCCCACCCCTGTCCCTGCCTGCAGCAGCTTGGGGGCCTGCCCAAGGAGCAGATGCCCAGAAGAGGGCCCTGGGACTCTGCAGGCCCCTGGCAGGATGTATGCTGGGGGTAGCTGAGGCCAGTTTGTTGCCAGAAGCCCCCATCTGGTGAACAGGCAACCAGCCAACACCAGAGCCCCAATGCCAGGCACCATCCGTGCCAGCAGATTCTGTCTGACATCACAGCCGCCCCCTTGCCCGGTGACCACGGCAACTGGAAGCCTCCCCCTCCTCTCCCGGCCCCCAGAACAGTCCTCCACGTTCCTGCTAACTGTGCTCTTCCAGTGCAGGATGTAGGGGCATGTGTCAGGGCGGAGGGGGACCTGGGGGAGGGAAGGTGGCATTTTTCATTTTCTGCAGCTAGCCGAGAGCTGAGCTACACAGTGGTTAGGAACACAGGCTCTGGCATTCTACAGAGCTGGGCTGTGGGTTCAGATCCCAGCTCTGCCACAGCCTACCCACGCGTCCTTGGGTGAGCCACCACCTCTCCAAGCCTCAGTGTCCTCTTCTATAAATGCGAATAATGACAGGACAGAGCTCAGAAGGCCAGAGGGAGGAGACAGTGAGTCCTCAGCGCCTGGGCCGGACACAGTAAGTTGTGGCAGTTATTACTATTGTCACTCAAATGCGTGCTCGGAGGGGTTCAAACCCTAGGTCCGTCTCTCATGAACTGTGTGGCCTCGGCCAAGTCACAGGACCTCTGTGAACCTTGGGATCTTCATTTGGAAAACGTGGTGACAATGCCTTCCCAGCAGAGCTGCCTCTAGCAGCACATAAGGCACAGAGAATGCATGGCACAGAGCCCAGTGCATAACAGGCAGAAGTGCCCTGTCAATATTCATCATCATTCCTCTTGTTTGCCCTGCTCCCTGCTCCCAAGCCCTGGCACTCGAACACCAGTTTGTCCCTTCTTCCCTTTGTCATCCCCAGGGCCACAGTCACTCTCACAAAGTCCCAAAATGTCCCCCATCCGTGCCCGAGGCCCAAAGAGTGGCCCAGTGCTGAAGAAATGGTGCCAGCTGGGTGGCTACAAGGATCACAGTGCAGGAATGGCCTTTGGGGCACCCCCGCTCTTGCGGAAGTCCCCCCACTCTGCTGTTCCTTAGTCATGGGCAGGCCCTCTGCCCCGGAAGCCAGCCCCGCTGTGGCCCTGCCCACCCCTGAACCCAGACCACACTGTGGCGGGGTTGCTACACCCTCATTAGGGCTGGGTGGACATCCGTGCCTGGACAGAGAAAGTGGTTAGAGCCCCCTCTCCTCTGCTCCTGGCAGCCCCCAGACCCTATAGCCTCCCTACCTTCGCCGCCCGCCCTTTGTCCATGCAGTCGGGGTTCTGACAGCGCAGTCCCCTCTCCTCGGCCAGGCTCTGGTCATCTGCAGAGGAGAGGAGCAGAGGGTTATCAGTGGGCGGGGCTCAGGGAGGTACAGGCCAGCCAGGGGCACCCAGGCTCCCCTGGGCCCCACTGGCCTCCCCGCCAGAGGATGGGTGGGGCCTCTCCGCAATCCTCCCTTCAAAGGAGGTCAGTGTCCCTTTCTCTTCTAAATGCCAACTTATCTGCACGGGAATCTGTTTGCAGAGCCCTTTCTTGTTGCAGTTCCCCAGGGAAATTATCCAGATTCCACGGGGAGAGGATGGCTTTGGAAATAAGTTTCTCCCTCCCTCTGCCCCACAAGCCTGGGAGGGGGGTGGCTCAGTGACCTTGTGGGGCCCCAGACTTCTTGGGGGATCCCTGCAGGGCTGCTGGGGGAGGGAGAACTCCAGGGGTGTAAGATCCCTTTCTGCCCTTGTCCTCCACATCACTGCCTCTGTGGATGGACGCCCCCTCAAAGGCCCGGGGTGGTCTCCCTTACCCGCTGTCCATCTTTTACCCAGAATCTGGCCCCCTCCAAGCTGCTTCTCTCCTAGGGGCCGGGGTGCAGCAGCGGAGGGGCAGCGAAGGGGCAAAGAGGCCGCCTGCCCAGCGGGCATGCAGGGCCAGGGGTGCTGCTGAAGCGGGCCCCCACGTGGGGGCAGAGTTTGGACCCCCGCCGCTCTGATTCCGAGGCCGGGGTCCACCTCCCCGCTCGAGCAGGCCTTCGCCAGGGGAGGGGGCAGGCCGAGCCCCCGCCCGCGGAGGAAAGGAGTGGGCGCCCCACCCGCTCCCCCGCGACCCCCGCCCGCGCCCCTCCCCGAGCCGGCGCGGAGGCGGCCCGGCCCGCGGGCCTGCACGGCGGGGCCGGGCTGGGGCCCCTCACTCACCCATGGAGGAGGCGCCGGCGGCGGGGGACGCGGGCGGGCCGGCGGGGGGAGCGCGACGGCGGCGGGGCGGGCGCCGGCCGGGGCCGCAGAGAGGCCGGATCGCCGCGGCCGCCGGACCCTCGGCGGCGGGAGGCGGGGCGGGGCAGGTGGGCGGCGGGAGGAGCCGGAGGGCGCCCCGCCCGCGGGGGCCGGACTCCGCACCCGCGCCCGCCCCCCGCGCCCCGCTGGGCAGGGCCGGCCCCCCGCCGCGCCGGGCGTCTGCCGGGAGGGTGACACCCGCCCCCCGCCGGGACGCCCCCTTCTGAAATGTCGCGGGTGTGATCAAAGGCCCTCCCTCCACCCCCGACTCCCTCAGCCTCCCAGCCACCTCAAATGAAAACACCTCTCTTTTTGATGTGGTCAGGAGACATTTTCTCAATCTCTTGGAAGGTGGGAATAAAGGCATTTTAGAGAATTCGTTATTTCGCCTGGTCCGAAAGGTACCATCTACGTGGAAATGGTGCCTTCCTGTAGGTAGGAATGCAGGCAGGACAGCTCCCTGCGCCCTTCCTCTCCCTCCTGTAGCAGACACCCCCCCCCCCATTAGAAATGCTGTCACGGATAGGGGTACGGGCTCCATAAAAGGAGTGGGCTCCGTGGCTCCTGTTTTGCTGTTATCATCTCCGTGTTGGGCCGCATTTTAGAAACTTCATGGAAGTATAAATACGTAGAGTGCAGCTATCATGAGTACACAGCTCAATTCATGCTCACAAAACGTTTTTGCAAAATAACCAGCACCCAGACCAAGAAACAGAGCACCCCCAGCCTCCTGCAGAAGTCCCCCTCTTGGGGGCTGCCAGCCACTGTCCCAAGGAGATGCTGTCCTGACTCCTGACTGCATCGATTGGTTTTGCGTGCTCTTGTACTTTATGAAACGGCATCACGCGATACTTGGACAACATTTTAATGGTTACAAAACACTTTGCACGACAGAAATGGAGGCTTGGGGAGGTGGCCAAGACTCCCCCAAGGGACTCAGAGTGTTCCTGAGCTTGCTTAGACCCCATCCCACCCGTAGGTTGGTGCCAGGAGGCTCTGGGTTGACAAGACCCACGTATGGAAGATCCAGTTTCCAGTGGGGCCCCAGTCCGTCTCCCAAAGCCTTCTCTGGCCCCTTCCCCAGAGGCCTCTCTGCCGAAGTAGGGTGCCTGCCTTCCTGCGTGTATCCCTTATGTGAGCGGGCCATGGGGACTGACAGGTGACCGGAACCCAGTTCCTGACCTCAAGGGCTCTTTTTCTTTTGAGGAAGATTAGCCCTGAGCTAACTGTTGCCAATCCTCTTCTTTTTGCTGAGGAAGACTGGCCCTGAGCTAACACCCATACCCATCTTCCTCTACTTTTTTATATGTGGGACGCCTACCACAGCATGGTGTGCCAAGCAGTGCCACGTCCGCACCCAGGATCCAAACTGGCAAACCCCGGCCCTCCAAAGTGGGACGTGTGAACTTAACCGCTGCGCTACTGGGCTGGCCCCTCAAGGACTCTTGACAGAGGGAACTGTGGTGGGTTCCAGGTCTTCCTGGTTCTCTGGATTCACTCAGCAAACACACATCAAGGGTCCCCTGAGCGCCCACCATGTGCCAAGCCCCAGGCTGGGCACTGGGTACCCATGGGTGACTTTGA